TCTTACGTGTGCATGCCTTGATCCCAATATGCCGAGGCATCGGCACGAGGTCTAGTCCAAAGTACTCCCAAGATATGAGCCTTGTCTTGAGCAATGTCGAGGTAATGATGCCGAGGCCTGAGAAAATAATTAGCGCGTATCGTAACTCATTAAGGCTCGTATCAACCATATCGCCTTCCGGAAGCAGTAACTTTCTACACACGACTCCAATTGCTCTGAGAACAGTTCCATAGTCAAGATGACTCAATAAGCTCGAACTTTGGTGAAGAAACTGTCGGAGCTTGGGGAGTGGAAGGCTTCCTGGATTTCACATCTTTGCACCGTATTGGAATCACCGGAAGGCAAGCTTTTGGACCGATGTGAACTCCGGAGACCTTATCTTTCTAACCACTGCTCCGAACTGAGAGATTCTAAGCGTTCTGAGAAGGTCTTTCACAGATCTCAAACTTTAATGCAGACCAGGCAAGCTAGTTCGGACCGGAAGGGCTCCGTCCTTCGTGATCTTTGAAGTTCGCTGTTCGGTTCTCGAGTACGCGCAGTACTGGTGCATAAAAGACAAATCTTGGAAGATATTACGACAACCAATAGTGCTTACTTGAATCAATATCCACTCCAAGAAGGCTCCGACAACTAAACTTTTTAGCTGAAGAAAAAGAAAAGCAAGATGTTAACAAAGACATATCCAAGACAGTGAAAGTCCAATCCCACTTTGACATAGCATTCTCATAAAGAAATCAAATCAGTAGAAACCATACAACTATACAAATACTCACAAAGGGCCACATCTACAAATATAATAGGGGCATTAGATTCTTGTACCAAGAAAGGATTTTTCGGTGTTCTTCAAAAAATGTGTTTAGCAAATGTATAAGAAGCTTACCAATATGGATAGTCATAATCCTGCTATTGCAGCCAATGTCAGGACAATCCTTGCCCTCAAACCATTCTTTCTTCACCACTTTAAGCCGAGGACCCTCATCAATATCATGGCTAATCTAACACATTATAAGTTTTGTCAAAAAGAAAACCCAAAATCAGATACTTAAAACCAATCACAAAAAAACACTCTTAAACATCAAAAAAGATGAGGAGACTCACTCTGTATCCACATTACTCAAATCCAAACCCAAAGGCATTAATCTGAATTAGAATCTTAAACCTATCTCAACTTTGGAAGAAGAAGGAGTGGATTTCTTACTTTAGTTACACTCAGATAGCAACGATCTGTCCATCCAATGAATCCCACAAACAAGAGACTCACACCCTCTAAGTACTTTTTTTTTTCTTTCCAATTAGGATCAGACTGAGACAGTCAATAACAAGCAAACACCTTGAGAACATGAGAAACTCTAAGAAGGATCTTGTTGGCGGTGCCCAGCTCTGTATCACAGACCACGTATCCGTCCTCGGGCATTGGTTGCAGTGAGTCCAAAATCTTGATACTGTACATTTTTTTCAAAGTTTCGTCGAAAGCAAACCTTGACCCAAGCCCATAAATTGCAAACAGTACCAGCAAAAAGCCTCAAACATTGTTATCGAAACTATGTTTTAAGAAATATGTAGTGTCTTACCTGCAGTTCCCAACATTTATGACATCACAGAGCGACCAAAAGGGTTTCTTCAGAGAGAGTCTCCGATCTTTGTCCATGTGAACCCAAAAATTATAAGGCATCTCCGTGTTTCCGTGTTTGTATAGCATTAAGTAATGCGTCCTCAGCAATCTTGGATAGAGATTCCTGTTTAAGGGTCCCGAATTACATCACAAGTAAATATTATTACTCGATACACATTTCTATTATAGCAATGATGAAAGATTTTTTTATGCACAAAAGATACTTAACTTTCTGGCAGTCGCTCTCTAGGACTGAAACCCAATCCACGAATTTTTGTGTAAACGGCTAATCTTGTTTGAATTGCAAAAAGTGCTCCAAAGTCGCCAAATGCATCGCGATAGTACTGATTGTTGAAAAGCGAAAGACGTGAAGATGCATCGATATTTATCCATCCTAGGTTTCCGTCCTTTAACTGACTGCAATATGATGCACTCACATCAGTCTAGAAATATTTCCCTCTTTTGTATCCTTGCAACAACAGTATATATTGCACATGGGAACTCACCAGGCCGACACCACGATAGAGGGGATATTGATGTAGAAACGACCAGGTTGCTTCACCAAAATAAGGTTCATATATGCATAAAGGGTGACCCGTTCTTAGCAGCTCACCTTCGTCCCTCTCATGTAGATCATTCTTACTTCGATCTGCCCTTTTTGCGCTTTTATATACTTCTTCCCACGTCCCATGATACTGCCAGGCTCTGCCCTTCAGCTGCATAACAACACAAGAATAAATTAATTAGACACGTAGGAAATGGAGATGAGAATGTCATTTCATGAACTCGCATCAGAAAAGCTTACCTCCTTGTCTTCTCGTCTTTTTCTACTGTTAATCATTTGAAGAGATCTCTCTTCTTCCCATATTTCATATACAAATGAATCATCATTAAAAACCCCAAATCTCATAGCTTCTCATGAGGTAAGATTCCGTTGTCCCTCAACCTTCGCTATGAGCTCATAGCGTCTTGCTGTTCTATTATTAGGCAGTAGTTATAGGAGGATGAAGGGTTTTGAATCTTCAGACTGTTTCTGGTGGAGTTCTTGAGAGAATTTTGAATATATTTGTTTTTCTAAGCTTTGTTTGAACGGAGAATTGACTTGGTTAACAACGATTTTCCGGCAATTTTGATAACTCTAACTCTAACAAATCATCCATGGATTTTGATAGAGAATAACAGATCGATCAAACGGAAAGACGATTTGAGGAAGATTGTCATCGATGAACCCTCATTTCTTGGAGAGAATTTTAGAATAAAATTTGAAGTGAACATGAGATAAATTAAAAAAGAAAATCCAGATGATAAAATCACAAAATTATGAGGATTATGGGTATATAAGATGGTGGAAAAAAGAAGAAGAAGAAGATTGGTTGTGTTCGGGTCATAATTGCAATCAGTCTTAATCTGGTCTAAATCCGGTTTAGGACATCTCCAAATACAACTTCAAGTTTGATAATGTTTGTCTCTAAAGGCAAAACCTCAAATCTAATCTCACAAAATTTAAAATATTGCATAGTCTTTAATTTTAATTATTATTAATTAAAATTATATAACTTTATAAATAACAAAGAAACATACACTAAAAATATCATTAACTAAATTTATATTATAGACTTTATAATAAAACAAAACATTACATTATAAGATAAAGTACATAAATATAATAATTAAAATACACAAACTAAATTTTAAATTATTACATTACACCAAATTATTCAACAACACTATTTTCATAATGCTCTCAAAATATGATCAATCAATGCTTTTTTGAAGTGTTAAATGAGTTTCTTTATTTTTTTTCTGTAATATTTCTTTTATATTAGTATTTTTAATTTTATTTTATATGCAAATATAGAATTTATACAAATGAATATAAAATATATGCGAGATATAAAATTATTTGGATTAAAATGATAAACATAAAAAATAAAATGATTATTTATGAAATATATAATTGTGATGACTAAAATACAAATAAAAACTGCAAACCTCAAATTTGAGGTCTTGATTTGGAATCTAGCTTGGAGTTACAACAAACCTGAATTCAGAGAAAACTTGAGGAAGATAGAACTCTTTGACGACGCTGTCTATGCTGATTTGATGAGAACAAAGCCGGAGACTTGGTGCAGGGCATTTTACAAGCTTGGACCATATTGTGAAGATGTTGAAAACAATTCCGTAGAATCGTTTAACAATTCTATAGGTAGGAAACTATCTCTGCTTTTCTGTTAATGTTTATATTTGTGGGTTTTTTAATAGTTGTGTTTCATTGTTGTTTCTGGTAAAGTTAGAGATAAAGCTTTAGTGCTGATGCTAGAGACCATTGCCAAACTAGCAATGGTTCGTATAGCCAAGAGAAGTGCCAAAGCTATTAACCACCAAGGGATTTGTACTCCATACGTGAGTAAGTACCTAGCTGAGTTGCTTGAGGATGCTTCGAAATGCATTGTCCAACCCTCTATCAACATGCAATATTATTTAAGACTTCACGGGTGTGCTTATCGAGTTGACTTGACGGCGAGGACCTGTAGCTGCAGAAGATGGCAAATCACTGGGATCCCCTGTGAACATGCATACGGTGTGATGATCAAGAAGGGTATTGAAGCTCAGCATTACGCTTGCCATTGGTTTAGGACTGAGATGTGGAGAGATACTTACACAGATGGTGTTATTCCAGTTAGAGGTGCTCGTTTTTGCCCTGTTGGAGAAGAACCGTCCATTGTTCAACCTGTGGTGCCAGATATGCCTGGTCGGAATAAGGTTACTAAGGCGGATAAAAAAAGAAAGAAAGGGCAGAATGAATATACGGTGAAGAAGAAAGAAAAATTGCTGAAAAGAGTCAAGCATTGTAAAGTTTGTGGAGCCGCTAATCACAATTCATGGTTTCATAAAAAGAAAACATTGGTTTGTTCTCTTCTTTGTGTGTTTTTGGATACTAATCTCTCATCTTCTCTATATACTAATGTCACTTTTTCTTTGATTTTACAGGCTTCTCAAGGTGAATCATCATCTCAGCCTGAATGTTCACAAGGAGTACTTACTCAGCTTGGGGAATGAAGATATTTATGCGGTTGTGTTTTCTTTGATTTTTCGACCTGTTTTGTGTGTGTTTTGGAACCTGTTATAAAACCTTCTTTCTTTGGCATCTATTTTCGGATCTGTTGTGGTCTGTGGCTATGCATGATGTCTAGGTTTATAAACAATTGAGGCTGTCTTAATGTTATGTCATATTCTGGTTATCTTATGATTATGTTTTTGTTTAGTCATTTAATGTAGTTTTAGGGATCATACGATCAACACAAGTTGAAAAAAAAAACAAACCAATACACCAAGTGACTCTAAAACAAATACCATTACCACATGAGAGACAAACCAACAAATAGCTTCAAACAAGTTTGCCAAATGAGCCTAAAACATAATACCAAAGACAATTACCAGAACTACAAAGACACAACTAATAAGCTTCACACAAGTTTGATACAACCAAGGATTATCACACCTCCAAAACACACAAGCAACAGCAATTTCTTCATATCCGATTTGGCTTCAAGAATCCTTTCTTCTACCCGTTCAGCAATCTCTGACTCTAGCTTCAATTGTAACTTCTCATACATGTGCTTCTCAGCCTCCATACAATCTGTTGCACTTGCTTTAACATGGCCTTCAAGTCTATCTATTCTCAACTTTGATGCCTCAATTTCATTCAACAATGCTTCATCAACCCACTGAAAGTATGATTGTCATTGACAAGCTACAACAATAATAAACAATGACAATCAATTTAGCTTCAAAATCGCATAATAGACAATGGCAAAAGAAATCAAAGCTAATTCACCTTTTGTTCAACGGCGAATGCACAACAGTAATATCTCCGATATGGGTTTGCGTCCGACTTAGAGATTCTGGCTACAATTCCTTCCCCACACGAACATCTCTTAGGCACCCCGACGTATCTTCCTCTTGCTCGACCAGCTGATGATGCACTCGCTCCAGATTCTTCGCTCATCATCACAATCTACAAAAAAACACCTATCAAATCGGTTTTCCTATGTAATCGACCTGAGAAAGTTCGAAATCATATAAGAACACCTGGAAATAGAAGCGTTTTGGGGATTTGGGGATGAATTTGTGGATTTAGGGTTTGTCGATATCGATTTGGGAACTGGGAATATCGATTTGGTCGGGTTTTTTATGATTACGAATCGGATGTTAACTGGGTCGGGTCACAAGTTTGGTCGGGTTTTAAAATCATCCTGGTATCGAGCAAATCTGGTATTCTATCTGGTTTACCTCACAAACCCTCGAATTCAACGGTTTTGGTTAAATACGTTGTGAAAAATGCAAATAGGGAGAAAAAAGTTTACAAACTTTGTATTGGGGGATATGCGATGAGGTCCAAACTCTGGGGGGATTAGTTACTATGTAATAGTTCTCAGAGTGAAATAGGTCGTTTTCCCTCTATAATTTTAATTATTATTAATTAAAATTATATAACTTTATAAATAACAAAGAAACATACACTAAAAATATCATTAACTAAATTTATATTATAGACTTTATAATAAAACATAACATTACATTATAAGATAAAGTACATAAACATAATAATTAAAATACACAAACTAAATTTTAAATTATTACATTACACCAAATTATTCAACAATACTATTTTCATAATGCTCTCAAAATATGATCAATCAATGCTTTTTTGAAGTGTTAAATGAGTTTCTTTATTTTTTTATTTGTAATATTTCTTTTATATTAGTATTTTTAATTTTATTTTATATGCAAATATAGAATTTATACAAATGAATATAAAATATATGCGAGATATAAAATTGTTTGGATTAAAATAATAAACATAAAAAAATAAAATGATTATTTATGAAATATATAATTGTGATGACTAAAATACAAATAAAAACTGAAAACCTCAAATTTGAGATCTTGAATAGTGAAATTTCAAGTATAAGGTTTTATTTTCAAAACCTCAAAATTGGAGGTTTTAAGGCTGTTTTTAGAATAAACAAAACTTCATCTTTGAATATTTAAGGTTGCCTTTGAAAATATTTTTAATATCAGTTTTATACGGTTAAAAATTAATTAAAAAACAGTAAATCATTTGAAAACCGATTTTTGTGGAATTTTTTATTTCGAACTTCAATTACATGGGGAAATCGATTTCACGGGAAAATAGATTTTAAGCTTTGCTTTCGTGGAGATTGGTGGGGAAATAGCTCTTCCCACTCGATAACAACAAAAATGGATGAGTTACATAATCTTGAAATTAAACCACCTGCAGTCTCAATTACAGTTGACCCAGTTCCACCTCACTAAATTTTAAAATGAGAATAAAGAGCTTCTTTAGTATTATTCTAAAGAATTGAGTTTACATTATACATCTAAACACATCCATTATCAGATGAATTTGCTCCTATTGCATATAACTCGGACTACCATTCTCAGTTATTTTACATAATCACATTCCCACAGCTAAACCCATAATCACATTCCCACAGATTTCTCGGAGCCTAATACAGAGGATACCTTCACTTTACCCGATTTAATGAGAACCTGAGGCATCTACATTCGCCTAAAATTTGAGTTTTCCATCAATACCAATCACATTTCAGTATCAGAATGTGCTCCTATTGAATCCAAACTCAGACCACAATTCTCCTGCTACACCCATTTCAGATACATGTCAGTATCAGAATGTTCACATTCTCCTGCTAAACCCATAAAGGCATAAACTTAATGCTCCAAAACCAAAACTTGTGTTTGATTCAAGACAGATTTTCCGGAGAGAGCCTGCTACAGCATCCGTTGGAGACACTGCGAGTTGCTTTGGTCACAGAGTCAAAGACAAGATGACAAACCAATCTATCAAACAGGATAGCAGTCAACATCCATGAATACTGAAGTCATCTCTTGGACCTTCTTGTATATCTTTCCAGAGAGTCTGTGAGACTTATCATCCGTCATGAACCTATGAACTTCCCCTTGTAATTTGATCTGGCTATACCCGATATCCTTCTTCACTCCCGCATCCTCCATTCTCCTCCTAACTTTTGAAGCAGCATCCAATAATCCACAACTCGCGTATCCAGTGGCAAACACCACGTAGTTCCCTCCGTTCGTTGGATCCAACTCGAAGTATCTCGTAGCAGCGAGCTCTAGCAGTTTCACATTCCCATGATTCCTGCATGCTCCAAGTAAAGAACCCCATACCGGAGCGTGTTTCTTGCACGGTGACTTCATAACAAACTCGTACGCTTCTTGTAGCCTACCAGCACGCCCTAAGATATCAACCATAGCCGCATAGTGTTGTCCCTCAGGCTCAATCCCGTAATCTCTCTTCATAGAATCGAAATACTCCCTGCCTTCATCAACTAAACCTCCATGGCTACACGCAGTGAGAACCACCAAAAATGTAACAGAATTCGGTCTACAACCTTCTTCCTTCATCTTATCAAAGCACTTTAACACCTCTGAAACTTGTCCATGATACCCATATCCAGACATCAACGACGTCCACGTAATCACGTTTCTGGTGGAGAACTGATCAAATACTTTGTGCCCATCAGAGACACTGCTGCATTTGAAGTACATATCAACAACCGCACTATTGACTATAATGTTGGACTTAATCCGGCTCTTTATCATGACAGCGTGGGCTCTCATACCGTGTTCTAGCGATGCCAACGCAGAACACGCTCTAAACACTGAAGCAAAGGTATACTGATCCGGAACTACTCTGTGGTGTCTCATATCGTAATACATATAAAGCCCTTCTTGCTCAAGACCCTTTTGCACATGCCCTGATATCATTGCGTTCCACGGGATCAAATCTCTCAATAGCAAACTACGAAAGAGGATCCAAGCTGTCTGAAGATCCCTTGATAAAGCGTACAGTATCAACAGCTTAACTTTCAAATACTCATTCGGAGCAAATCCTAGAACAACCATTTGAGCATGTATTCGTTTCCCTTTTGTATATTCCTTCCTTTGTTTGAATTCCTGTAACAGCATAGCATAAGTATCAGGCTCGACTTGTGACCCGCTAAGCCATAATAGCCCAACAGCTTCTTTCAATCTCCCAGTAACATACAGCCCAGCTGCTCTTTCTTTCTCTGATGCTCCACCTGAAAGCTAGAACATGTTACATGTGAACCAAACTTTGATCTCTCAATGCAAGTTTCAGAATTACGACCCTATAAGAGATGATCATAAACCAATCAATTTCGAGCAGAATTATAAATATGTCTCAGCGTTCATAAATAAGGTATGGATTTCCATTTCGAGACTAAAATCATCAACAACAAACCAAAATTGAGGACAATGCATCTCGAAATTAAAATGGAATTTAAGATACAAACCTGCCAGTTCTCCTCTCCGCCAGCATCCGCCGTAGGATCGTTGTCGCTTTGCCGGAAAACATTGGACCAGCTAAAACGTGTATCTCACCGGAAGCCGACGAGGATAGCGACTGAGACGCCTCTGTCTGTAACTCCCGAGTGTTATCCATCGCAATCCTGTTCAGCTTGAAGCTAAAGTCGCTCAGAAGTCGGGATTTAAAGAGAAGGGAGATTGTGTTGGAAGAGAAGCAGATAGCCGAAGATTGGGATTTCTGAGGAAGCGAAGACGAGATTAACGTTTTGACACAGAAAACTAACATTCCCTCCGATAACTAGAGGAGATGAAACCGATGATCGTCACCGGGAGGAGAAACTGTGCCTTACAATTAAATTTCTCCATTTACGGTTCAAGAGCAAGATAAAAGGGTTTGAGTTTATTTTTAAGATAATATAAAACTTATGAAACCTGTTAAGAGAAGTCAAGATGGCCGAATTGGTCTAAGGCTGCGGGCCCCAAAAGGCGTGGATTCAAATCCTAGTTTTGACAAATAATTTTTTGGTATTTTTTTCTTTTTCAATTTTTAAACAAGTGATGAGTGAATGAATATTTTGACTATAATTTTGAAGTTGTCGTTGTGAGTTTCAAACAAACATATGAAAATAACACTTCTACTTGATCATTAGAAATTTTTTGTAATTTTGTTTTAGTATGTAGAGCTAATTGGGATAATGTTTTTAGGAATTTTTTTCCAATTTTATTTGAGATGTATTAGATACAAAACTGGTGGAGAATACAAGAAGATTAAATGTAACATCTCGATTTCTGGTATATATGGACATGCTTATAGAAATTGTTTTGGCTACCTATGTCAACAAAGTGTACTTATCTTTTCCGGTCAAGTGGGCTGAGAGAACTCCAAAGTTAAACATGTTGATGACTGAGTAATCTCAGGATGGGTGACCTATCCAAGGCGTGGGTTCAAATCCCACTCTTGACAAATAATCTTTTTGGTATTTTTTTCTTTTCCGATTTTTAGGCAAGTGATGAGTGAATGAATATTTTGACTATAATTTTGAAGTTGTCGTCGTGAGTTTCAAACAAACATATGAAAATAACACTTCTCCTTAATCATTAGAATTTTTTTTAATTTTGTTTTAGTATGTAGTGCTAAATGGGATAATGTTTTCAGGAATTTTTTTCTAATTTTATTTGAGATGTATTAGATACAAAACTGGTGGAGAATACAAGAAGATTAAATGTAACATCCCGATTCCTGGTATATATGGAAATGCTTATAGGAATTGTTTTGGCTACCTATGTCAACAAAGTGTACTTATCTTTTCCGGTCAAATGTGCTGAGAGAACTCCAAAGTTAAACATGTTGATGTCTGAGTAATCTCAGAATGGGTGATCTACCAGAAAATATTCTGTGGGACCGTGCGAGTGAGGACAAAGCACGAGGAAATATCATATGGTGATTGCAGGGACATTAGATAAGTCTTACGAGCCTTCCGGACTAACGACTCCCGATCGTCGGACAGTGGTGGGTCAATAGGCCTAGAGAGGATGTTGAGCCAACGGGCCTAAAGAGAGGACGTTGGGCCAACGAACCTAGATTTTTGTTAAAGGCTATTTCTAAGCTTAGAT